AAACCCCAGGGTGGGAAATGGACATGGTACGCAGGGAGGGCCGAGGCTCCACTGTTAGACTTGCTGATAGGAGGAAATTCTTGTTTGCAGAAGCCGTAGGCAGTAATGGTTGGAAATGGACAGGAGGGCCCAATTGTCACTGTCCTTTGGTGCCTCGAAAGTGGGGAAGCAAGGGAAGCTCCTGAACTCTGGAGTGTGGCGACAGGCTTGTGTCTGGGGAATCTTAGGCAGGATGTGAGAGTGCCGGTTGGATTATAGCAAGAAAACAGGCATGAGGCGTCAAATACTTGGTCAGTCATGATTTCCCCTCTGATGTTGTCCTTTTCGGGTATTTTAAAAAATACTTTACACCTGTGGGAAGAGTCACCATGGCTTTGTCATTCACAGATTCGTCCCACCCACCTTATCCTCTTCTCTTTGATTCTGGCATAGGCTCCTTATGTAAGACTCTCATGAATTTGTTAAATCCCGTAATTAGTGTTGCATCTTCTTTCTTCCTAGTCCTGCTTTGATCAGACCCTTTATTAAAGGGTAAAGTCCAAAAGCAGCGTGAACTTTACAGGCACAGCACTTCAGAAACTTATTCTTGGAGATCTGCCTTCAGTGTTGGGAACAGTGGGCATATTGGCCCAAAGGCAATACCAAAATGCTATTTTAGAATTAGCTTTGTGAACATCAGAAGCAAATTTTGGCAAACTGATGTAAAACTTTGTCTTCTTTCTGTGCAGAGGTGCATCCCTTGAGGCTATGGAAATGTCATCTGGGCTTAAGGGACATCTTTTATTTTTCCTTTAATTCAGCCCCAGAGAAGGGAATGCGGTTTGACTCCAGGCTGGGAGAAGCGTCCATCAGGCATTCCTAAAGGGACAAGAAAAAATTGAGGCCAGGGCCAGGGGGAGACATGGCCCATCCAAGTCTCCCAGGGAGGAGTTTGACCCCTGGACTCCAGAAGCATCAATACCTGCAGCATCCAAATGTGTTTTCTTCCTTACGTTGTCACTTCCACTTGTTGCTTGCATGTCAGGATAAAAATCTAGAGTTGGACTTGGCAGTGCTTTGGGTAATAAGGGAAGGACGTGGGTCTTTGCTGTTCTGAGTTAGTACAAAGAATGGAGCAGCCCAGAGAAAGCAGTCAAGGGATGGCAAGATGTCACCAGCAGGGTCTCCTGGGCCAGCACCACCTGGGTCACAAGTGTCTGACCACACTGTTGCATTGTTATTGGAAGGTACAAGCATTCCATAGAAGCCCCCAAATGCTATGAGTATCGGTGAAAGAGCATAGTATCTAGAGGTATTTGCATACAGTGCAGAATGCTGACTGTTGACCCTGGAGATTTCAGGCCCATCCTATCTTCTTTCTAGTCAGTTTCTGGTAATTGTCCTAATGAGCTTCAACCTTCATTGGCTGGAGTTTGGGATTTCTACACATTTTAGAATTCACATGAGCATGTATAATGTGTCCAATTTTCTAACACTATTTCCTAGAATATCCAAAACACGTGTCCTAATCTCTGTTTGCTCTCTTAACTCTGGTCTCATAACCCTGAATCAATCATAAGAATAAGCAACTAAAAATTTAAAAGTCTATATAAAACCTCCTTATTACCTAGCATTTGTACCTTTTTGTCAACTGTTGTGTAATGCTCAATTGACTTGATTCCCAATTATCTGCCCTTCTGTTCCTTAACGAATTCCATTAAATCAACCAAGTATAATTATCCCATGCATAAATCCTGATTCCCTTATCATTGATTTTTTTTTTTTTAATTTTTATTTTTGAGTTGGAGTCTCACTCTGTCGCCCATACTGGAGTGCGGTGGCCGCTCCCGGCCACCGCAGCCTCGACCTGCTGGGCTGCGGCCATCCTTCCGCCTCAGCCTTCCAAGTAGCTGGAACTACAGGCGTGCGCTATCACACCTGGCTTATTTTTTGATTTATTGTAGAGATGAGGTCTCGCCAAGTTGCCCATGCAGGTCTCGAACCCTCGGGCTCAGGCAATCCATTCACCTCAGCCTGATTTTTTAAATATGTGATGCTGATTAGCTTTTATTACAGCCACCATCAGCCTGCCTAGTAAGGACAGTACCCCTTCAGGTCTCTGCTGAAGTACTTCTCAGCAGAAATCCTCTACATCTTTTTCAAAATTCTCGAATACAAGTTTACATTTGAGATCTTTAGTTACCCAGCTTCGTCTTTGTTCTTAAAACTCCTAGGTGACTGCAACTGAAAGCATGGTTTCTCACTATGAATTTTGATCTTTTGGCATAAATACTATCCTAGACTTGATAACTAGAATCAGACCTGAGAACTCGCGACACAGATTCCTTATGTTTTATAGTCAGTGTATCCATAACTGAAGCCTTCATTTTGGATTTTGCTGTGAAATTTGGTTTTGTTTCACCCAGAGTAACCAACAGAAGCTTCTTAACAACAGTCAGCAGGTTGTATGCTTTTGTCTGCTCTTTTCTGCTCACATAGGGTGGGCAGTTAGAAAAGAGGCTTAGCAAAGTATATCCTTGAGGATGGATGCTCAGGAGGCTTCCTGAGCTTCAGAACATTCACTTTGCCTGTGTCAATACAGTACCCGAGACAGATTTTAGATGTGCCGTGCTTAGAAATTAGCAACCCCCAAATCTTCAAGTTGGCTTTGGATAAATCATTCACTTGGCCAACACTTACTGACCGTCTACCATTAACTGGGTTCTCAGAGGTAAATACATTGCCATCATCATTGCCATCCATGCTGTCAGGATCTACGTAGAAGGGGAAAAGATACTTTAGTTCATAGTGACTACACAATGTGATAAGTTCATGATAGAGATCAGTATCCAGTTATAAGACTTTGGTTTAGGCAGGCTTGGTGGCTCAGCCTGTAATCCCAGCACTTTGGGAGGCCGAGACAAATGGATTGCCTGAGTCCACGGGTTCGAGACCCACCCGGGCAACTTGGCGAGACCTTGTCTCTACAATAAATCAAAAATTAGCTGGGCATGGTAATGCATGCCTGTAGTTCCAGCTACTTGGAAGGCTGAGGCAGAAAGATGGCCGGAGCCCCGCAGGTCGAGGTTGCGGTGGCCGGGAGCATGCCACTGCACTCTAGTCCAGGCAACAGAGTGAGACTCCAACTCAAAAAAAAAAAAAGACTTTGGTTTAATTAGTCATTAAGAAAGAGGCCATATTCTGGGCAATTCAAGACATAGCAAATGTCTTCTCTATCACTTTTTTTTAGTTGGAGTTTCACTCCGTCGCCCAGGCTGAAGTGCAGTGGCATACTCATGGCTACCCCAGTGTCGACCTGCTGGGCTCCAGCAATTCTTCCACCTCAGCCTTCCAAGTAGCTGGAACTACAGGCGCATGCTACCACACCCGGATAATTTTTGATTTATTGTGGATACGTGGTTTCACTAAGTTGCCCGGGGCTGGTCTCAAACCCATGCGCTCAGGCAGTCCACTAGCCTCAGCCTCCCAAAATGCTGGGATTATAGACTGAGCCTCCGAGCCCAGCCTTCCCTATCACTTTTTATTGAAGGAAAAGGTTCATGAGGCAGTGGAGAACATAGATTCAGTCATTCCTGGGGAGGGCTGCAGGCACCGCAATTTACTATTTACTAACTAGTTCTAGGGCGAACCCTTTGGTGTCTGTTTCCTCATATGCGAACAGATGGGAGGATTGAATTAAGACAATGAACATAGTGTTTAGCACACGTCTGGCACAGAATGTTAATGTTATATTTGCTTTGTCCTTCACAGAGAAATGACTACCACACTGAACTTTCTGTTACCTTTAGAGATGTTCCTAGCAATTATCTGTAGAAAATATATGTTAGGTCCGGAGGGAAGTAGCACCCACCTTCCCCCACCTGCCCCTCCACCCACCAATCCCCTATGCGCCCCTCCACCCCAAACCCACATCTGCATACCTCGCTTGAAGCTTCCTGGAACCTGCCACCAGCTGCTGAGACGGGCCAAATGCGATGCTTCCAGCCCACGCCAGATGCGACGCTTTGTCTCCCTGCTTCACTGCCACCCCTGACACCCTCCCAGATACAGCCCCCTTAAAAACCCAAGCCCGCCCGTCCTTGGGCGCGACTCCCCTGGCCCATCTTCTAGGACCATGGGACCTCACCCGGGAGTTTCTCCCCCAATAAACGCTTGGTTTGTACCGGCCCTTTGTCCTGTGTCTCTTTTGGTATCTCCAAACGTTACAATATCAACTTCAGTACAATTATTAAGAAAAAAATCTAATGAAGAAACATGCACTTCAAACAGGAATTCAGCACTCTGCAAGGGTCTACATGCCAAGGATGCCTTCCATTCCCCAATTCCCCAGGCTGAGAGTATAAGCTCTCCCTGGATCAGATCTAGCCCCTTCCAGAGAGTATAAGCTCTCCCTGGATCAGATCTAGCCCCTTCCAGAGAGCCCCAAATAAAGGTGCCCAAGTATTAGGCTCTGTAAAGTCTGGAGTGAGGCTTCATGTGAAAAAAAGACTTTTTATTTATTTAAAATCACCTCTATTTCTTTGCTAGAAACTGACAGGGCAAATTAAAAAACTCAATCACATAAATAACATTCCTAACACAACAGTGTAGCTATGACTGGAATAAATAACCCAGTGACAGTAATTTAGGTGTGGATAGTCAGTAATACATTATGTCAAATAATGTGGATGGAAGTTTGCATGCCCTGAAAGACAACTTGGGTGTATCACAAACTGGCCCTACTGAAATAAGACATTGATAGCAATGATCTATGAGAAGAACTTATATTGTTTCATGAAATGTTAAAAACAAAAATATAGTATGTTTTACGCATGAGTTCATATGTGGAAATATACCCAGTATAGTAAAGTGAATATTGAAAGTGGGGTGACTCCCTCTTCCTGCATTAGTATGTATGTTCTTACAGACTATTCAGTCCAGTCACAGCCATGGTAGACGTCAATCCTAACTTCACATTTGCTTCTGAGTTTCTGACTCAGGTGAGTTTGATACATCTGGCTTCATCCTCCATTGGACTTCTGCCTTTGGTTTTTCCTGGTCTTCACCTGCTTCCTATTTTGGTGCAGGCTCTTCTGGGCCTCTGGTGGAGGGGCCTACACTGGTGGTGGGGGAGCCTCCGGGGGCGGTGCCGGCTCTGCTGGCGGGGGAGCCTCCACTGGCGCTGGCGGGGGAGCCTCTGCTGGCGGGGGAGCCTCCGGGGGCGGTGCCGGCTCTGCGGGAGGAGCCTCTGCTGGTGGAGGAGCTGCTTCTGGCGGAGGAGCCTCTGCTGGTGGTGCTGGCTCCGCTGGTGGTGCCGGCTCTGCTGGCGGTGCCGGCTCTGCTGGCGGTGCCGGTTCTGCTGGCGGGGGAGCCTCTTCTGGCGGGGGAGCCTCTTCTGGCGGGGGAGCCGCTTGTGCTGATGGGACCCAATCCTCTGAGGTTAACTCTGACTCCAAGCTTGTTGACTCTTCTGATGACTCTTCAACTGCTATTGCCTTAACTTCAGACCAGAGGTAGGCTAATATAAGTAGACCGATCAACAGTAATCCAAGACAGATAGAAATTGTGATGGCTACCACCTGAACATCTATTTCCTCCTGCCTAGGCTTGAAAGAAAGGGCAGGGCCACTAAGACTTTGATCTATATCAGCAATATTATCAGGTGTACCACTGTCCACACTACCCCCATTTCCTGGATTTTTGCAGTCAGGAGGGGCAAAACCAAACTCACAATGGCAGTGCCTCAAATTGTTGCAAACCCCTCTGGCGTGACACACGTCCTCCGGCAGGCAGTCGTGCTGGAGTACAGAGTGGTGAGTGCAGGAGTGATTCATGCAGACTTTGTTTGGGGCACAAGAGGTGCCAGCCTGCACGTCTCCGGCATCAGGGACATCAGTACCGTCATGGGCATCCATGCTCCAGCACCAGTCATCACCATGAGCAACCTGGATCAACGTGTGCTGGGATTTGATTGGTGGTAGGTATTGGATACCTGTACAGATGAGTTTCCCACAAAATATATTATCACCTGAACATGGAACATATTCCTGCTGAGCTGCAGTGGGACGGCCACAGTTTCCAAACCGGTCCCCTTTGGTGTTCCTTGACACGTAACACTCTTCTGGGGCAGATCTTGCACGGTCCCCATATATATTCATGCATTGCTTATCAGGGTCCATACACTGACCTCTAGCGCAATGGTGAATTCTCTCACACAACGTGCCATCTTGCTTGTAGGTGTCTGCAGGGCATTCTGCAGAACGGCCATCACAATATTCCGGGAGGTCACACTCATCTCCAATAGGACGGCATAAAAATCCCTTCATTTTGAACTTGCAGTCCAGGCAGCAGAGTCCACTACCACATTCAGCATTCTCCTTCAGATCACATGTTGGTTCACAGCAAGGGTCAAGGTCACAGGCAGAACCACAGTCGCACTGCTCCGTGTCCTCCACCACACCGTTTCCGCAGCGGGAATCCCTTCGCTTGCGGCCTTTGTGCCATGGCTTGTTAAACAGGCAGGCCCCCTTGTGTTCCTGAAGGAACCGGTGGAAGTAGTGAGAGCTGCAGTTGCTGAAGCCGCTCTCTTTAGTGAAATTTTCGTGCATGAGGCAAAAGGGCTTATCTTTACAGAAGCAGGCCGAGTGGTCGTGCTGAATCCCCAGGTTGTGCCCGAGCTCATGGACCATGAGCGCTGCTGATAGGAGGACATCTTCCTGATGGAAGGATTCGACAGCTGCCGCAAAACCGCTTGAGCAGGCACCGCCGAGAAACCCCTGGCCCATACTCTGTCCAGGATGACGCCCAACGATCAAGTGGGCAACATCATGCTTCACACGTGGAGGAGCTTCTCTGTCTCCAGCTGTTGAAATTCTTGAGTGTAACTTGCAAGTCCACTGGGACCTCTATCAGGTCCTGCTCGGTCCAGATCTCCATTCCCGCCAACACCACCTCTGTGTTGATTCCCCTGGTGAAGCTGTTGGCCAGAGCAATGATGTCCACTACTCTCTGGACTGTCCCGTTGACGGTACTGCCCCACGTCTGGAACTGCTGGTTGTTGACCACCACGAGCATCTCCACGTACTTGGTGTGTGCCCACAAGGAGGACGGCGCCTGCCGATTATGAGGCTTCCTGCGCCCTTGTTGCCAGCTGGTGGACACCACTCGGCTGTCTCTGGAAGCGACACTACAGGAGGCTCGCGCTTCACGTGCTGTGGTGTATATCACATGTTCGAACTGTTTGGAGGAGTCCATGGGCTCGATGCCATAGGAGGTTCCCTCCTTACTCAGGATGCCCCTGAGGCCTGCACAGGTGTTGACAGACACAAACGAACCTGGCACTCCTTCTATGTAGCCTTCATAGTGACAGTCACGTGAGATCAAGGGATCATCTTGCCCCAGGATGCCATTGTGGTAAATGTAGACTGGAAAGTGACTCACAAAATAGTCTCTCTTCACCTGCAGGTGAACCAGGTGCTTCTCGCCGTGCAGAAACAGCATATAAGATGCTTCTTTCTCTGGTCTATCTCTTTCCTGAACTGTCAGCCTCTTGGGAATAATTATTTCATAGAAAGGGTAATCTACTGATTCCTGGTGACAATAAATGCTTGGCAGAAAAATCAGCAACAGCATCAAAATCCCTAACCTGACACACGAAGTTCTCAACACTAGCCTGAGTCTCAAGGTCCACTTCTGCAGAACCCAAGTCTCAAACTTTGTCTCAGTCTCTTCCAAAGCCACTTGGTTTATCCATAGAGAAAGCGGGATGAAGATGGAGTCCTTTAATGATGCCACCACTGACATGGCCCTAAAGAATCACTTAATGATGCAGGGTTGTGTCCATCAGCAGAGCTCTCCCTGGTACACAGACACTTCGAGACTCAGGTGTTCGTCCCAGATGTATCCAGCTCCCTTATGGATGGTTGTTGCCCAACTCTGAGTCTTATAAGACTTCAAGCTGTTCCTTTTTAGTCTTGCTTCTTCCCTGGCTGTTCGTAGTTTCTTTATTATGACTTCCTTCCAACAGCAACAACTTTATGTTCAATGGTTAAGTTCGTTTTACCCTCATTTAGAGATATTCCAAGTAGAAGGCCTCGAGCGATTCAGCTCATACAATTACCCGGGCAAATTATCCTTCATCCTCGGTATCAGCCACACCACTCCTGACATCCGTTAATCTGCTCATTCTTTGAAGTCCAACATTCTGACAGGTGGTCGGGGGAAGGGGACAGGAAATCTCTGAGCGGGGCAAAGTCCTCTGTTGTCCACTGCCTCCTTTCCTCATTTCTACAGTATTCAAGGTAGTATTTCCCAGTTCAACTGGCCTTTGTCAGTGTCTGTTTTTTTCCTTTAATTCCAGAAAATCTGTGTGGATGTTTAAGTGTCCCCTCATCATCCTTTGTTCCTAACACAAGTTCATTTTATATCTACACATAAACATAATTTTTCTCCACCAAAAAGTTTTCCTAATGCACAGATACATTTATGCGTTAAGGAATATCAGCTCAATTTCACCATGGAAGTATATAAGGGATCAGGATCAAATTCCAGCCAGGTGCAGTAGCTCACATCTATAATCTCAACACTATAGGAGGCCAAGATGGGAGGACTGCTTGAGCCCAGGAGTTCAAGGCCAGCATAGGCAACATGGTGCAACCTCATCTCTACAAAAAGAAAATTCTCTGAGCATGGTAGCACACACCTGTAGTTCCAGCTACTCGGAAGGCTGAAGCAGGACTGCCTGAGCCCAGGTGTAGGCTATGCAAACTGTAGGGTAAAACCAAACTGATTAACCATCTTGTTGAGTTACCATCTCAACAAGAAAATTAAAATGGGCTCTATAAAAACTTTTTGAAAATTTATTCACTTTTGTAAGTAAAACTGACCTATAATGTCTGTGAAAGTCCTTGGATATATGTTTTGATGTCAATTTCTTTGTTGTATTCAGCAGTACAAATTTTAAAAGAAATGTATTTTTCTTCAATAAATACATGCACACACATATACCCACACACAAGATGAGTTAAATCTTTTGACAAGCCCTGTCTACCCATCCCTTGTCCAGTTATGCTTCTGTGCATTCTAAGACGAACAAACATAAAACTCTACATTTTTAATCTTGCATAAAAATAATTTTATATTAAGTCAAATATTTATAACATAAAACTTTTCAGACAACGTATGACTGAAATAAATGTCATGGTACCATAAGATCTTAGATGTCAGCATGAGAATAGATCCATTAAATATTTAAATCTTAATACAGATGATAAAATGTATCATTAGCATCTAGCAATAAAACGTATACTGTCACAAACTCATTTAAAAAATTTATAACATAAAAGGTGAAATGATTTCCAGCTGGGTTTCTTTTCTTCTTGTATTTTATGTAAGAGCAAAGCTTCTTAAAAGTATGTATTTTGAAAATTATCACAGATCTTAGGGTGTCTCCCTGTGTCATAACCAAAATAGGCAAGAAAATTAGGTTAAATCATTTGGTGGGATAAAATAATCAAGGATCAATAATGAAAGAACTATTCTACTTTTAAATAAATAAAAATGAAATATCCAATTTTCCAATTCACCAACTGAAACACATTTTTCTTCAATAAATACATGCACACACATATACCCATATACAAGATATGAGTTAAATCTTTTGACATCTTGGACCAACAATTAACATCCCTTCAACTTGTTTTCTCAAATGACTACAAGTAACAAACTCTTTTTAAAAAGCAATTCCTGGCCAGGGCAGTGGTTCATGCCTGTAATCCCGACACTTGAGAGGCCAAGGTGGGAGGATCCCTTGAGGCAACACAGTCTCTACCCACTCTCCCACCCCGAAAAAAACTGGGTATGGTGACACATACCTGTAGTCCTAGCTACTCATAAGGCTGAAGTGGGAAGATTGCTTGAACCCAAGAGTTTAAGTCCAGCCTGGGCAACATAGCAAGATCACGTCTTATAAAAATAAAAATAAAAAATCCTCCTATAATTCAAACAGTAAATTTCTGACAGGCATTCTCCTAAGCTCATACAACATATTACCTAGAAGAGTTGTATGACATCAAGTCAACTTATAACTGTGGTAAAGTCTAATGGTATTTGAGTAACAAGTAATGGCTTTAATAAGTAGAGTTAGTAGATCAGGTAGGAAAACCGCAGACTATAATTTGCTGTTTTTTTAAGAACTGTTCTTACAAAGTTTCTACAGGTATAGGTGTTAGAGAGGTCACAAAATACAAAGAAGATATTGTTTCACTGCCAGTTAGTTATGTGCGAATTCTGATTAGCAAACCTGACTGGTAAGTTAAAGCAGAATTTACTACTGGCCTAGGAATATACAAACAACTTTGAAGACCAACCCGTGTTGAGCTCTGTATAAGGTAGAACCCACTTTTGAGTTACAACAGCTGGGGTATACTTCAGGGTATTCACAAACTTCCAGCGTGATTCATCTGGATATGTCTGGACACACCGCTCATTTGGGGGGCCAGCTGAATTCAGGCTTAAGTGAAAGAAACAAGCAACTGATGCTCAGAATAAAAGGAAGTCTCATTTTGGATGCCCTTTTACATCAAGTCTAAATTTCTACATACACTGAAGGAAGAAAAAAATCATCTTGAGCCTTTAGAAGACACCCAGATAACAAATTCGAGAAGTGATGATAGACTGGGTATGCTAGAAGTTTCCTCTAAAGAAAAAGAACAGTAATAAAGGTAATTAATGATTCTCTCCATGGAATACTGAACCTCTCCCCTAAGACAGGAAAACTACAGCTGTTTGGACGTTCCAGAAACAAGTGCAGAGTTCTTCCTAAGTGCAGGAAGTGATCTGTAAAGACTGCATTTCACTAAAAACCAGAATATACCCTTAATTCAACTCTTAGCTATGTTTTCTGGTCAGTAAAACAGAACACACTGTTCTTCTCTGTTGCCTCTTAGATTTCGCCATCTAAAAAAAATCATTCAATTTGCCTCATAGGGTATTCATTTTTAAGTAAGTCATCAGTAACCAAAGAACCTTACCTCAAAAAATGCCTTTAACAAATCCTCCAAGGTAAAAGGAAATCAATATAATATGGTAATTCTTAAAAGATACTTTGTGTTTTTATCATATATTCCCAGAGTCAGGCACACATGTAAGGCATACTAAGCAAATGTTACCCTAAAGACATAAGTGACGAAGTGAAGGAGTTAGAAAATAAGTGAGCTCTGAAAGATCAATTTTGATTGACGAGAATGTGACGGGACCAAACCAAACACTAGTCTCCTCATCCTCTCCCTTTGCTTTGTGACTTGAGTTTGCCTGTCAGCTTTTCTATTGACCAACACAGGTAACCACTGAAACCGCCTTGGAAAAAAAAACCAAAAACCAGTTTGTTATGAAAGCCCATATGCACAACCATAAACTAGAAAAGCACCCACTCTTATTTTTCATATAAATAGCTGCTCTCTGGGCAAGAATCATGCTTCCTGAAGATAAAGGGTACTGAACAAGATAAATGAAGCCCAGGGGAGGCAAGGTGAAACCCAGGCAGAAACATTAATGAGAAATGGGGCAAATGTAGGGGGAAAAAATGGGATAATCTTACATGCTTATCCAATAGTTCAGTTTCTATTATATGTAATTTTTTCAGAAAAACCAGTCGGGCATGGTGGCTCAAGCCTGTAATCCCAGCACTTTGGGAGGCCGAGACAAGAGGATTGCCTGAGCTTAGGGATTCAAGACCAGCCTGGGCAACTTGGTGAGACCTTGTCTCTGCAATAGATCAAAAAATGAGCCAGGTGTGATAGCATGCCCCTATAGTTCCAGCTGCTTGGAAAAGCTGAGGTGGAAGGATCGCCTGAACCCAGCAGGTCGAGGCTGCGATGGCTGTGAGCTTGGCACTGCATTCCACTCTGGGCGACAGAGTGAGATTGCAACTCAAAATCATCATCATCATCACCACCACCACCACCACCCCAGGCTGTGCATGCCTGTACTCTATACTCCTAGAACTTTGAGAGGCCGAGGCAGGAGGACTACTTGAGCTCAGCAGTTCAAGACCAGCCTAGGCAACATAGCAAGACCTCGTCTCTACAAAAAATCAAAACATGAGTCAGGCATGGTGGTGTATGCCTGTAGTCCTAGCTACTCAGGAGGCTGAGGCAGAAGGATCGCTTGAGCCCAGAAGTTGAGGCTGTGGTGAGCCATAATTATGTCACTGCACTCCAGCCTGGTTGACAGAGACCCTGACTTGGAAAATTTTTTTTAAATATAAAAAAAAGAAAAGAAAAATCATCCCCAAAAGAGGGCCAGAGAAACAGGGAGAAGAAGTAAGAACAGATGGAGCTAGTTAGGACTGGAAAGGAACCAGAGAGGACAAAATGGGACCTCATAGAAGCAGAAAGGGAAGCTCTGGTTAAATATGTAAAGAATAAAACTCAAAAGAGAATCTCATTAGAATTTTTAGAAAAACACCAATACCCTTTTAGCAAATCCGACAAAAAGGAAATGTTTCTGCTTTTCTCTAGAGAACTAGGGGCAAGGGAGTCTCCTGTCCCTAGGCCCAAGTGTGCTTCCTATGAGTTCCAGCAGGCAGACTGTAATGACTGATCATAAAAATTTCTTGGCACTAGAGCTAATCTCCCAACAGTGCAGAAAACAAATACATAGGGCAACTGAAACCAAGTTCCACAGTACTTGATTCAACTGTTCACTAAGCAGAAAGGTCAGTATAGTTGGTCCTTTACCTACTGCTGGCAAGTGGTTTTTGTATATTTTATTTCAAATAAAGCGATCTTCCTTGACAATACCAT